TATTTCACATTGCTAATTGCCCCATTAGGATCTTGATTACTAATTTAGCTTTTCACACCAGAGAAACTATTCGATATTTGCATATGTGTGACTTATTTATTTCACTTAGGAGTATATCCTCAAAATGAACGCATTTACCTATGAATGAATCTACTTTCTCATTCTTTATGGCTGAGTAGTATTCCATTTTATAGAAAAACCACATCTTCTTTATCCAGTTTCCAATTGATGGGTAAATTTGGCTGTTTGCAAGTTTTATCTATTACAAATTGTGCTGCTATGAACATGGGTGTGCATATATCACTGTGATATGATTCTTTAAATTCTTTTGGAAAGATACCCAACAGAGGGATGGCTGGGTCAAATGGAACCTCTAATCCTAGTTCATTGAGGTATCTCCATATTGACTTCCATAGTGGTTGCACCAGTCTGCACTCCCACAAACAATGGAGAAGGGTTCCTTTCTCCCCAATGATTCTTAAACATAGATTTTTATTAGAATTGATTGGATAGTCTATCAAATTCTCTATCTCCAGGTCATATCTCATACAAATTACATCAGTGCCTCAGTAATTTTTAATGTAATCAGATGAAACTAAAATGTAGCCATATTTGAGATGCAGAGATTTATAGAGTGTTTCTTAAGATTTTATGGGAATCTTACTCAAATACAGATTCCAAGTCCACACGTGTGGCCTGAGACATCCGCTTCTGTATTCCTAACAAGTCTCAGATAATGTTGCTGGTCATAGGACCAAACTTTGTGTAACCAGGACTTAGTGCACTATTAGTATTTCTGCTGTGAAACAATTTTAGTATTTTTAATTGATCCATTATAACTGTACATATTTATGAGTGTGATGTTTCTATATATGTATGCAATGTGTAGTGATAATATCAAAATAATTAGCATTTTCACTCCTTAAATATTTATTATTTCTTTGTTTTGGGAACCTTGCAACTCCTTGCTTCTAGTATTTTATAAAATATATGTTGCTGCATTCCATCATTCTATTGGACATTAGAATTTAATCCTTTTTTGTAACTCTTCTTTGGTTCCTGATATCCAACCTTCCTCAATTTCTTCTCCTTGCTACACCTTCCTAACCCCTAGTGATCACTAGTATACTACCTCGTTCTATGATGTCAACGTTTTTAGCTTCTACAGGTGAGAACATGATCTATTTGCCTTTCTGTGCCTGGCTTATTTCACATTCGATAGTGTCCTTCATTTCTATTCACATCACCACAAAGGACAGAATTTCATTTTTTTGGCTCAATAATATTCCATTGTTTATACAAGATTTTTATCTACATATGTGGTGATGGATATCTTGGTTGATTACATACATTACCTATTTTGAATACTGATGCAATAAACACCTGTGTAGGTATCTCTTTGATAGATTGATTTTATTTCTATGAATAAATACCCAGTACTGGTATTGTAGGAGCATTTGATAGGTCTATTTTTAATATTTTGAAAAATCTTGAATACTGTTTCCCACAATGGCTATACTAATTTACAACCTTATTAACATTATATAAAAGTTTCCCTTTCTCTGAAGAGAATATTTTAAATAAACACCATAATTTGTAACTGCCAAGGAATATTATGTTCTTTGCTTCCAGGGCTACATTAAGAATTTTACGTAAGTATACATTCCTTGATTGGCCATCCCTTTTACATTATAAGTATTTGATTTAGTGCTAATGAAAAGCCAAATATGCTTTACTTTAATAGAGTACAGCTGAGATTTTCACATAGAGGAACAATGCATTATACAATTTACCCTTTTAATAGGACTTAATGGCCTTGAAATGTGAAAGGCTATGCTCTACTAACCCTTAATAAAAGAACTTTAAAAGGATGCCAAAAAAAATCAATGTGAAATCATAATAAAAATGCTCAATGAACTTTTAACGAATGCTAAACAAGGTAAACCCATTTAGAATGACCTTTTGTGTCTGAATAGAAGGTATTTTTAAGAGATTAAAGTTTAACTGCAGAATTAAAGGATTCCAATAACACATGTTACTTCTTTCTCACATGTAATTCTAGATACAAGACAAATACTAAACTGTACTTTACTTATATTGCTTTCAGCTTTGGTGGATTTTAACAGATTTGTTATGAAAAGTTCCATCTCTTATCTGTATGTGTCTTTTCTTGTATGTGAAATGCCCACTTGAATGCTGTTGAAAGACAATTGAATCAGTTTTTGGACCAGGCCCTAGTGGTATCTTTTACTTCCATCCACCAGAACTTCAATTGTAAGGAAGTCACATACTGTAAGATTTTAATAACTGGAGGCTAAAAAGCCATATTTTCCTAGGTATGATGGAAAGATATTGGAAGTTTTGTAGCAGTGAACAATTACAGTCCCACTGATGTATCACTCTTTGTATGCAGATGTAGCTATAAGCACAGAAAGAAAGGAGAATACCAAAAGAAGGAGGTTATTGGAGGAGTTGAGGTCAGACAAGACTGTGGCTTATTTGGTAAGGTGGTAGCAATGGAAGTTATTGGATTTGACATACATTTTGAAGGTAGAGTTGATAAAATTTGCTACCATGTTGTTTCGGTAGCTTGCAGGATATGTATAAGAATAGCTAACATTACAATTAGAGTTCAGAAGTCTTTCATAATCATGTCTTCATAATGTAATTTGAGTACTACCATGCCTAACGGCATGGATGCTTTTGTAAAGTTTTTAGTTTTGTTTAAACTCCTTTAAACAAATTTCAAAATTTAAAAAACCTGTGCATGATACCAAAGTGTTTAGAAAGAAGTGATACAGTGAATGTCACAGATCTCTCAATTTTGTACAAGTCATGGCTACCTGGTGAAATTGTGGCTTCTTACTAGTAAACAGCATGTTTTTTTTTTCTTTGTGGTCTGTAAGACAGTGGCTGATAATACTATCTGGCTGAAAAAAGGATCCATTAGGAAAAGTTATTTTCTAATGCTGGTTAAATGTTCTCACCTGCTTCCTCCACTTAGGCCTCACTTATCTAAAAAATTGGACATCTTAGAATACAATGGTAGAGTGGTTTTCAAAGACAATCAATTTCAGCAGAGGAAACTTGAGGTAGTTATTAGGTCACTTTGATCAACTCTTCCATATCAATTGCATTGACCTTACTGCAGAAAATTAAGGGTGATGGAACATGAGCTTCTTTCTCAGATGCCTCTTATTTCCTGCCTCTTACCTGGACTCCTAGTACACATAGGATGGACTCTTCCATCATGCAAGTGTGACTTTTTCATACTGATTACTTTGCAACGTCACAAGTACCAGAGGAAACACGATGACAGCTTTTAAGCTTGGAAGATGGAAAGTAATGGATAAATACTGCTGCTCCCTTTTTGGGGTGGACAATTTGGGGGGGCATTCTGTATTTGTCTGAAGATTCTGGTAGAATTGCCTCCTATTTCTTACAGAAGTGACTACAGTCATGCACCTTAATATTGGTTTTGCTCATGTCCAATTTCACTTTTCTTGCTCCTTCACCACTGCTTCCAGAATCAAGTAAGTTTACGTAATCCTTACCTCATTTTGGCTTCCATGAACTCAAGTTAAGGCAACTTCTTTTTATAACCCAGACACACCCATCATGGTAAAAGCCATCAGTGTAGAAGAAAAGGTTCTAATTTTCATCATCAACAGCATTTTGCTGTCCTGAAAGGAAATCCATCTATGTCTCTTTACAGCTTTTACTCTTTACATGTTTGTCATTGTGGGCTGAGAGAAAGGAACTAGGTTGATGGAACTACTAATGTTAAATGTGTTTAACCCTAGACTGAATGCCTCACTGAATGTGGTGATCCTTATTTCAAGTGCATTTGTCATGTATATGTACAGAGAGTTTTGGGTGCGCGAATTTGATATAAGTATGGAATATATCATTTCACAAATCCTGATATTGCTGACTCAAAGAAACTGTGACCTAGCTCTAATAACTTTTGCAAAGTACCATTAATGTTTTCATAAAAGATATATAACATCATTTAATGCGCTCAACAACTCTACTCACAGGCTAGAGATTATTAAACTAGAAATGAGAGTGCTTTAGACAGGTAGTTAGTATTTGACAGAAGGGAGAGCTGGCAAAGTCGTTAAAGCCCACACAACTAGAGGAAAGCAGTGAAGGCTAAGCAATCTAGATAAAAGAGAACTAAATGTAGAAGAAGTTTTCACTCTGCTTCATCAGCAGGTGACTGTTGAGTGTCTTCAATATGCTCCTCAATGTACACTGTAGCGATAATGACTGCGAGAAGTGAGTTGCTAAGAAAAGTTTGGAGGAAAAAGAAAACAATTTTCTAATTAAGGAAATATTAAAAGAAACTGAGACCCCAATATGGTAGGTTCCATAATTAAAGTTACCATTAACATTAATGGACAAGTCATGTGGGTCAATGGAATAACAGTTTTCAAACTCACCAGTCGAAAAAACTGGGCAATAATTTTTAAACCTGCACAACCATTGAAATTATTAATTAGACACCTGGATTAGCATCTGATATTACTATGGATTCAACATTGGGAGAATCAGTAAGATAAGTTGGTTTGATGAGTGTTTTTACTTCAGTGTTATTCAGAAAGTTCATTTGGGAATATTTCAGGATTATAATGAGTATGAGTCATAATTCCAGCTCAGCAACTATACAAACCCTAAGGCAGTTGATTACCTTCTCTGTAGCTTATCTGAAGGAAATAATGATGATTTTATTTTCTTTGGGGATTTCATGAATCAGCAGCTAAAGCCTATTGATTCTTCCATAAATATAGCTTTAAACATTATAAGTCTTGGAAAGGGAAAGGAGGGAGGCTATCTCTTGGGGTTTCTTCAGCTAATGTTCATCTACAACAGTGTTTACCCAACATTTACCTTGAAAAATAAGGAAAACACTGTTGGTACTCCCTGTTGCCTGTTACTGAAGGAACTGAATAGTAAGGAATTTCAATTCTTTTAAGCTCAAATTGAAAATTTGCATCATGTTTCAAATCATCATTCCTTCACGTCATGCATTCCCTGGTCAAAAGCATCCTACTGGCAAAGGTCATTTTTACAATTTTACCCAGCTTTATTCCCACCTGGACTTCACTCCTACACCTTTTAGTGAAAACTGCATTACTTTGAAGTTGAAGGTTGCATTCAGGCAGGCAGAACGGCCTTACTCCCATCCTGAGTTGGAAAAGATAATAGATTCTACAGAGCAGGTGTCCGACTGTCCAAGGTCATTGCACAATGAGTCAGAGTAAATATCCAAATTACAGTAGTGGACAATCCCCGCACATGACAGGTTCAGTTGATGAGTGTCCTTTTGTCTAGCTGTCACAGTGGTCTGAGAACATGGAATAAATCAGATGAAAAAGCCTATGCCTGCCTTGAAAGGTTATGCCTTTGCTAATCCTACAGCACCCAACAGGCTGCCATTACTTGGTGCAATTGTCTGCACTGGAGTACTTGGATGATCTTGTTTCTTGGGAGCTATTTGTTCAGGGGGGAAAAAAAACCCAGAAAGTGGAAGGATGAAGTGAGTTTTCTCCTGACATATCCAAGGATGAATACTTGTGAAGGACAAGCAGGCAATCTCTCCTTAGAAACACTCAGTCCAAAGAGTCCAGAAAGTCCTTCAGAGTCACAAATAGAAGATCATATCACAACTTCAAGGAAAACAAGAAAATCAGAAAACCCTGCTATTGGTAAATAATAGGAACAATAATCAATATATTATAAATTCATGTTTCTTAACACTGCAGTTAAGTTTCAATTTCAGACAATGATTGAAGTTCAAAGGCATCACATACGTATAAGGTATGAATGATTAAAATCACACAAAATGGGTTTAAGTTTCTAGAATATTTAAAAATATAGTTGAAGAGTTGAAAGAGTCTAAGAAAAACCCTTGAAGGGTATAAGGCTAAAGTGCACATATTGAAACTAGTTTATAATAGTGTTTTTTTATTTTATAGATGAAAGGGCAAAAGTAATTTTAAATGCTGCTTTGTTCAATGTTAAGTCATTAAAAAGTAAATGAATGTAAACATAAGTTACTTCATGTCTCAGTGTAGTGGAAGGCACAGAAAACATTTCCGTAAATGGTCATAATGAGAGAAAAATATAATAAAGTTTTAGGTATTTAGAACAAGGTGTACATATTAATATTGGTTTATAGAATTTTGTCCCTATTTCACAAATAAGACTGAAGTTAGATGACTTGCTCAATGTTACATATATAGAGTAGAAGAGCCCAATAAAGGCCAGGTTCCTGGACACAGTTATTTTGTTAGGTTGGCAAAATATTTAGAGTATTCTGCGTTATCAAAATAGGCCTCCAGAAAAATCTAAATCTACAAAGCCTGGTTTTTCCTTCCTCTAGAATCAGTTCAGGAACACATAGTCTCTGTGTTGAGTGTAAGATCCACAAGCTAATCCTCTCTTCCAAATAGTACAGTTGGCCAACAAATATATTTTTTGAGTATCTACTATGTGTCAAACAGTGCTAGATACAGAATCACAGATTCCTTACCCTCAAGAGACTTTTATGGTAGTGTGTTTGTGGGGAATAGCCAACAAGCGTCCCATAACTATAGAAATCAGCAGGCATTGGGAAGAAAATAAAATCCTAATTAGCACCGGAAATTTAAGGTGGGGACTCAGGTAGACTGGCTCTCTCAGCTCAACTTTTTGGTGAATTCATTATGCGTGAAGATTGTTAAGCAACAATAACAGTGCCCCCAAAAGTAGCCTGAGAACTGGAAATGGAAAGTAATGAGAGAACAATGAATTAACATCGCTAGCTAATATATATTATTATTGTGACCAGGTGTCTCATTCAGTATTTTGAGTCTGGTTCAAGCAATGTGGACATGCAGGAAAAAGTGGGGCAAAAACTGATAGGTGGAAGGTGAGGGTTAGCTGGTTCAGTATCATCTCCTAAGCCTGAAGTTTAATTCACATTTACTTTTTAAAGAAGTAATATATATAATATACATATATTATATAATATATATATTATATAATAAGCATCATGTATCAAATATTCTAAACATTTTACATGAATAAATTCATATATTAGGATTTTCTCACAGATACTTTTGCTTACTTTTACATATGGAGAAACTGAGGCATAGATGTCTTAAGTAACTTTTTTATGATAGACTAAAGAGTGTTCCCCCGAAAGATGTCCATATCCTAATCATTAGAACCTGTGAATTTAGTTTATAGGGTAAGAAGGACTTTGCAGATGTGATTAAGGATTTTGAGATGGTCATATGGGATCACCTAGATGGGCCTGATATAATAACAAAGATCCATAAAAGAGTCAGAGAAGAAGATGGAGGCAGAAGTCAGAATGATACGGCTGGGAGCCAAGGAATGCAGGTAGCTTCAAAAAGTTACAAAAGGCGAGATCCAGGAAGGAATTTAGCTCAGTGGTTCTGCTGCCTGCCTTGCCAGCGCAAATCAGTAGAAAAAAGTTACAAAAGACAAGGAAATAGAATCTTCTCTAGAACTTCCAGAAAGTAATATCACTTTGATTTTAGCCCAGTAAAACCACTTCAGATTTCTGGCCTCCAAAACTGTAAAGGAAAAAATGTTTGAGTTTTCCTAAACCACTAAATCTGTGGTAAGCTTTTATAGAAAAAATAGGAGAGTAATACGTTTCTCAAGGCCATGGAGCTAAAAACTGAACAGGGCCAGGATTAAAACTGTGGCAATCTGGTTCCAGTACAAGAGATTTAACCATTGTGCCATATGACCTCTCACAGACAGAATAAAACTTTAAGTTGAAAGTAAAATGAAGATCTCCTTTGTTTTCCTCTTTTGCTCATAATTCCAGATTTCAGATTATCCAAGGAAAGCCCAAAAAATAAAAATAAAAATAAAAAGAAGCTGGCCATGGCACATGCCTGTAATCCCAGTGCTGATTTAGGTGAATCACAAGTTTGAGTTCTGCCTAGGCAAACCAGTGAGAACTTGCTTCAAAATTTAAAAAAAAACAGAAAAAAGGCTGGAGATCTAGTGCAGTGGTAGAATACTCCTAGGTTTGACTCCAATATAGCATAAACAAATGAACAAACAAACAAATAAATGCATAAATAAATAAGATTCAAGATTTTAAAAGGAAAGGGAAGCTAAACCAGCTGGATTATGTCAATCCCTTTCCCTGCCTGGGCAGGGAATCCCATCCTCAGGCCTGGGTCTGGACACAAGACATTACTAACATAATTATCTTGTTTTTAAGAGATGAGGCTTAAAGGGCTACGGTATTGAAGTTACAGGGCTGGTTGATGAAATAATCAGCTAGTTGCAGACGGGGCACCTGGCAGTTTGGGGACACTCACTGATCTCAGTGCCTGTGTGGAACTAGAGGAAGGAGGCTGAACAAATGAACATTAGGATCCGTGCTTACCCTTTGCTTGTATTTATCATTAGCTTAGGAAGGACATGACAGAAATGTTAATTACAGACCTACCAGTGTAATTCTCTACAAGAATCAAAAGTTCTCTCATTCACAGTCTTGTCATTATTTTAATTCCAAATTTTAGCCAACTTTATATCCAGGTTGTTTTCCCCCAGCTCTTTAACACAGCAAGTGGGATATATGGGATGCTTATAAATACTAATGGAATTAAACTAAACATTCATGATAACATATTTTGACCAGAGCTCTTCAAACATTACGGCTATGCGAATCCCCTGGGAATTTCACTAAAATTCAGATTTGGAGTTAGAAAGTCTGAGTGGGTTTTGAGTTTGGGCATTTTTACCAGTTCCCAACAGCTGATGTTGCTGGTATATAGTCTATTTTCAAGGTCTCAGAAAATAAGAACTCTATCTGTATAAAAATATAACTAACACAATGTGATCATTTAATGAAAGTTTCCACAAATGGCACAGAAATAGATTATTTCTTCCTCCTTGAGGCGCTGTGCCCTCTCAACAGAGGGACCAAATCAGATTGGCGGATTCAATGGAAAGAGTTGGAGCAGTGCCCCAACTCCCTGCTCCAGGCACTCTGCTCAGGTCTGCCAGAGGGAGGACAGAGGGCAAAGGAAGGGATAAAGTGCCCAGGAGTTTCTGCGTTGACATTTTTCCATTTTCAGCTTCTAAGGACTCTTTGCCCCTTTGAACATCCCAGGTCACGGACGAACACAGAACACGTCGCAGCGCACAGCCGCGCCCCACGCAGCGCCCTTGCAGGGGAGGGAGGCGGCGGAGGAGGACGCGCTTGCGCGCGCGCTCAGCATAAATAAGTCCCAGGAGGCGGCTACCGGGCAGAACGGGCTGTGGACGCCGCGGACCATGGCGGGCGCTGA